TCAGTGGATTGGTCACAATAATAAAGCTCCAATGGATGCTGGAAAGGATTCTAAGTTTGCTTTCTAGACTTCCAAATTGTCCATTATTTTCTTTCACTTCATCTGTAAGATAGAAGCATATGACTTCCTTTTTCATCCAAACAATCAAATGCCCCCTCCCCTTCCAAGTGCAGCCCCATGCCTATAGAAGTTCCAAGCTGATGAGTAGAATAAACCAAACACATACTGCACCTGTACTTCTGCAATAGCATGGAGAGCTAAGGTAGTCTTTCCACTACTTTCGGGCCCATATATCTGTAAAGAAAAATATGAGGAAAGCAATTAGACAACAAATTGCAGCAACCTTGTTAATATTCCACATGCTCACATCAGTTGAGAAGTTCAGGATGTGGACAAACATCAGAATCAAATACCCCAGCCTATTAATGAAATAAGTAAATTTCTAACGCACTCACTCTATTAACAGGTCAATATAACTGTTCTATTCATCTTCATGTAGGAGTTAGTCCACTATGTGTAATCAAAACCAAAAGTTAGTAATAACTAAGCAGCCAAGCATTTGAAACCAAATAGATGGCGAATAACCAGTAATAACTAATGCATACTGAAAATACAAATGAAAAAGATAGAAATTTAAACCTCAACAATTCTGCCTTTGGGAATGCCACCACCTAAAGCAAAGTCTAGCGTCAAGCAGCCACTCGGAAAAGTTTCACTGCATAAAGAAGCAGATACACAAGTGCTTGTAAGAATGATATAGTCTAACAATGATCAAAATTTTGGGCAGAATATTTTTCTCCATTTTCATTTTCTGCTTCTTTTCCCCAAAACATTTCATGTTTGTTTCGACATGGTTCCTGTGCAGAAACTAAATATAACTTTTTTTGAATTCAGTAAAAAAATTACATACACCAGAGCTCCGCCAGCACTACCCAATCTAGTAACGCTTCCTTTGCCAAACGAGCTGTTTATATCGTTCATTGCAGCATCCAATGCTTTTTGCTGAAGCAGGAGGAGTTAGGGAAGTCAGTCACATGGAATTCTTCAGTAAAGCAACATACAGAACTATAAATACAAACATATGTAGAGAGAGAAAGAGATACCCGGTCGAGAATCCGAGCGTCAGAATCAGGAGAGAAAGCGCCATTGATTTTATGGTCAAATTCCGAACGAACCCTGATTCCACATGCTGAAAATTGAGGACGAGATACTTTCTGGTAGAATTTTACTGAAGTTGAGTAGCTTAGAGATTTGTGACCAATTTTGGAGCCAAATAACTGAGCTTTCACTGGGAAAGTTAACTCCATTAAAGTTTCTAGCTTAAAAGCTCCGTTCTCTTGGACTACAAAGTTCAAGCGGATTGAAAGATATTACTATACTTAAGCTCAGTTCTCCTTGCTGAAGAAGGAGCTTAGGCTATGCTGTCGCCGGAGTTCCATGGCGCCATTGTTGACGTTGTTTAGATATTTTCTGTTTTGAAGCCCAAAACGTAAACGTGGGCCTATTCTTAAGGCCCAAATTATCTACATGGGCCTATGCTTAGGATCCAAACCATATACATGGGCCTATTCTTAAAGCCCAACTAATGTATCTTGCAGACTGAAGCCCAGCACTATTGAAGCTCATTTTAGGAGTCCATCGTGCATGTATGTTTATCGGATCGCTGGTTAATGTTTAGACTTTAGTCATGATTAACATTTACCATGTAATTATACAGATAACACTTTAAGTTTTTTTTTTTTTTAACCATATGGATAGTTTTTCAGTTTGTTTGTTTATATTAATTCATCATCTAAAATGTTCTAATTGAGAAGAAGTAACTATTTTTAATGTGAAATAACATTTAGGCAAAACTCAAACAATAACGTCTTAAAATATATAATAAAAGATTATTTCACTCATGAGACATCTTCGAATTTCAACAATATCAAATCAGAACTATTCACTTAAAAATATGTTTTGTGGTTGCTATTATTGGTCTCGTAACTCATAATATATATAAATATATTACATAATTATAATATATGTTCCGCCTGCGTGTTTATTTATATACCTTTCAAATTGAAAGTGTCATATCTTGGAGCACACGGGAGAGTTTGACTTTGAAATATGCAAGAGAATCAACCTAATCTCAACAACAAATGGAGAATGAATTAGGAAAGAAAATAGAAAAAAATCCAAAAATCACATTCTCAAGCAAATATGTTTGAATTACCTAAAAGTGCCAAATATCAATATTATATATCGTAATTAGTTGAGGTGGATCTAAATTTTGAATTTTCTAGAGTTTTGAATTTTAAGATTGAAATCTCATGTACTAGTAACTAGAGTTCGAATTTAATATTTCTACAAATTTAGTGGAATTTTCTAAATATATTTATTAGATTTAAAATCAAAATTATTGAGTTTTACTGAACCAGTATGGAATTTGAGAAAGCTTTGAAGAAATTAAAGGAGAGTCATGAAAGTTTGAAAAGAAACATGTTTGCTTAGTACTAGGGTATCAAGAAAAAATGTTGTTTTCATCCGATTAATATGGGAGTTTGGTAATAAGTTCCTTTCATTTGGGGATTATATAATACCTTCCCAATTGGAAAAAGCAATAAAAAAAACAGATTCTCAGTTAGACTTTTAGCTCTATATATTATATAATCCAACCTAATTAATCCTATTCCATATTTTAATCATTTTCTTTCGTACTATGTATATTTCTTATATTATTATTATGATAATAACAGTTGATTGGATTAATATGTATATAATAATGTTTCAATTGTTTGGTTGGACTTATTTCTTAGGTGATTAAAAAAAATGAAAACTATCATATGGTGAAACTCGTGTGCAAGTGAAAGCGAAAGAACCGCTCTGACTAGTTTGATTTTCTACGATTGAATACGTCTTTACTTTAATTTGCTCAAACTATTATATTATTAAAATGTAGTATATAGGCGGCTAAAGGGTAACACTAATTATTGTTAAACGTTCGATGCAATAACAATAATATAATAAATTTTAGTGTAATTTGTAGATAGGATTTAGAAAAAAGTAGACGTACAAAAACTTTATCCACCAACATCCAGTATTTTCTTAAAGAAAAAAAAAACATTAGCATGCACTTTTAAGTACCATTTAATTACCACCATAGACTAATATATTATTTGAATTTACTTTAAGTTAGAGTACTTGCTAATGGCTATAGTAACTTTTGTAATTAATGTGTGAGTGTGAACATAAAATATACTCTGTAATTAGTAGTTTACGTGTGGGATCTGTAGGCAAACAGGGAATTAAAGATGAAATTAAGTCAGCAAATCTTGCTGAGCAAAGAAGGATTTGAGTGTTTTATTTTCTTGATTGTCTTTCTTACCTGTAATTAGCTATGAGATGAAAGTGATAGTTAGATTAATAACTCATAATTTTTATGATAGTTACATTAATTACTCATAAGTTTTTGTGAAACAAAATTGACTATCTTTAATCAATCTTCTTATTTTCTGGCGTTTGACATTAAATATATCTTTTGATTTCACATATTTTTATATATATAGTACTTGTATTTTTAGTTCGGAAGTAGTTAAGTAATTTTCATTTCTAATATTATTAGGTGGAGATACTTAATTTTAATTTTTTTTCATATCCTTTTGATTGCCCCATGTGTCACATTAATGGATTATTAAGAGTATGTATGTAAAATTGATGTATTGCTCTTGTCATCTTCAATGAAAAATAATACAATTGACTTGTATAGTTGTATATGATTTTATTTTGTTTTTGAAAAAAGAAAATTTATTTCATTTAAAGAATTGTACTAAAGAAAGGGTCGGCAGCTAAGAGTTTTCAAAAATGATTGGTTATTTACATTGTTTATTGATTAGACATTCCAAGGGAAATATCATGAGGAGAAAGTCAAGCCTTCACAAAATTTAATTGATTTCTACTATTCCAATGATTATAAAACAGCTCCCTTAGCTTATTAAGGGTTTTTTACTAATAATTTCAACGAATGCTGATTCTATCATATTGATATAAAAAAAAAAAGCCATATATTAGATGAAGTGATATTTTAATGCTCTAAACATACTCTTTTAGAAAAATAATGTGCATTTAGCTCAAAATTAATATTATATCATGTTAAAAATATATTTTAAAATTGTTTTTGCCAACGTTTAATTGGTATTGACATCAATATTTCTTATTTACGGTATGAGGTTTGACTAATAGCCTTTTGAAGGTTCATTAATTTACTATTTTATAAATTTGGCTTAAAGCAGACAATAATATAGTATCACAGTAGCAACGTTTTTGTTGATTATATGGAAGTTCAAAATGAAAGTAATTAGAAGACAAAAAATAATTAATGATCTTTTTTTGGGGGTTTGCTTTTTACAGACAGGAGTGCCTCCTAATTAAGAATATGGATATTATGATACAATGAATGAATGTTATGTGTAACTAAATTAAGCTTATCCAAATTTCATCTATTTTTCTTGTCAAATAATATGATGATTCCACTTTACGATACGCAATTCCAAAATGGGTATATATTTTTGGACAAAAAGAAGATTCTATATTTGGTGTATACAGTATACCTTTCACTTCATGTCCAATAATTAGGCATACATATCTATGATACAATGCATGAAGCACAAATGAAATAAATTTAAATGCATGAACAATAACTAAATATTGTTTTGGGGACCCCGATGTTCTAAGAAAGTACAATTATCCCCCAAAGTTAACATCATGAATTTTAATTTAATTAAACCAATTGTTATAGTCATTTTTGCCATTTCACTTGAATTTATGTAAGAAATCTTTTTGTAAAAAGTTATTTAATTTGGCCTTTGGGGATGCACTCTAAGCAAATATAAATTAAAAATGATACACTAACTAATTATTACAGTGATTTATTTGTATATTCACTCTTTTCAGATGTCGATATTACTTTTAAAAAAAATTAAGATCAGATGGAGATAAATACAACAAAAAAATGACGATGATACGGAGAATTCCAATCTATCTAGGAGACAATTATATACATTAACCACTAGGAAAGTATCATTATTGGAATTACATGCATTGGAAATTAATCTAGCTAGTATAGTTATATATATATATTCTAAGATTACAATATAATACTAGCAACTAAAACAAGACTTGTCATATATTATATCACACATCTAAGTAGAATATTTTCTCTCAAAAATCAATAATTGTTCCACATTGTAGGATATCCCACCTCAGATAAAAAGCTAGTTTCAGAACTTCCTTCACCAAAGCTAGGTGAATTTCCTCCTTTTATATTTTGGGCAGGATTGATAATATTGTTGTTATTGCTATTATTACCTTCCATAATAATATTATTCTTGGTACTCAAATGACTTAAAACAGCTCTAATTACTTTGTTATTATCACACGTAGAGGATGTTGCAGTGGCATTTAGGTAATTTCCAATATCAGCTGGAAAACCACCGTATGCGGTAGATCCGATGGCGGTTGTGGCGGAGGGGAGGTGGTGGCTATGGGAAGTGAAAGTTTGGTTAGGGGTGAAAATGGAGAAGCAGGGCACTTGCTCATAATATAATTCATTCATATTCATATTATTGTTGTTAGGGTTTGTTTGGTCGAAAGTAATGTAAGGATCCATTAATGGTGGTAGAGATGAACAACTTATTGTATCGTTATCGTAGTATATATTGTTGCTTCCAATTTCTTGCTTTGTAGCAAGTAATTCCTTCTTCTTGTGAAATACTCGGCATAATACCCAATCCTCCTGTATCATTAAAAAAAGTTCAATTTTTATACGCTAATAATATAATATAATAATAATAATAATCAATGTACTATATACTACACTATTAACGTAAATGAATTAAACGAATTGAGAGAAAAAAGTTCCATATATATTAAATGAATTTTAATAATATCCATGATCACCAAGTAATTGATTCTTTTATGAGAAAAAAAATGTTTATTTTTCTGAAATAACGTGACGTGGTCAAGGACAAGGGGATTAGGTAATTAGGTTGTGTTGTTATCTAAATAAATAATAATTGAGAAATGGAATTTATTCTGATTAAACATAGATTACGAAAGAATCATGAGATATTTTTCTTATCATTGTAGCACTGATTAGTAACATATTATATCACAATAATTGTGCTAGATATGTCTCACAAAATTTGACATAATTTAATAATAGTATATGAATTGGTTTACAAATCTTTCAAGGATTTCAAGGAATCAAATTCATTAATCAAATTAGAACAATAATGTTCTATTGTATTTCCTAGCTACTACCTATTCTATATATAATTTCAATTAACGTTTAAAGTTTATACCTAGTCAAAAATATTCTTTTTTTTCCGTATTAGATATATCTCTATTGAGCAGAATAATTTCTCTATCTTCTAAACATAGAGATTAAATCTACATATATTCAACCTTCTTCAAATTTCACATAAGATTACACTATATTTATTATTATTACTATTATTATTGTATTTAGTGAATATGTAATTCCTAAAAGTGAAATGACTTAAGGTAGTAGTTGTAAGTTGGTCAACTACCAATACAGTTTTTAAAAGATAAAATAGTTCACATATTTGTCATAACTCATAAAACCATATTCTTAAAATGATAGAGGAAACTTCCAATGATGTTTACAGTTGAATATAAAATAAGATTCCAAGAAGAACTTAACCGCATTTATAGCGATTGGATTAATCAATTACTATATTATAAGTAGGCCAAGAGAAAAGGATAATTTAGATAATTAAGCCAAAAGTTCATTATCATGGGCCATAAATATATATGAACTGTCATTTATTATGTACAGCCACATACTTGTATTTTTCATAACGACAAATTAAATTCATGCTTATTTCACAATTTCTCAAATAATTTTTTTTTTTTAAATATGAATGGACAGTTCTCTCAATTGAAAACTACTTTTATCTACTTTATTTATTTTATAGTTTTTATGATATATTTTTTTTCATAATATAATAATTAATGAACTTTTTATGGACCTAAATGCTTCAATTCGTCATATTTATCGGCAAAAGTAATTGACAGTATGACCAAAGAAGAACTAGTTTACCTTTTTTTTACATATACAATTTTTTTGTTTAATATATATAGAATTTTATGCATGTATTATATGATATATATATATATATATAATATTCTCTAAGCATATATACTCCAAAGTAAATCAATTGCACATGTAAATGATATTTTATGAAAACTTACCAAAAAAAAAAATCTGTGGTTTATTAGTCGATGTTCTATTAGTATATATAAACATGTGCGTTCAAATATATAAATATTAAATTTAGAACTCAATTGGAGATGGTAGAGTACCTTGATAGAAGAAATTTGAGGACGAATGGGAAGTTCTAGGCGGAATTCATGCATAACCCAGTCACTTTTTCTTCCTTTTGGGGCTCTCCCTTGATAGAAAACTAGGGTTTTTCTCATTCCTACTAGACTTCCTTTTCTGATGATTGCACGATCTTTTCCGGTGGCTTTCCAGTAACCAGATACGGTGGCTCTGTTTGTTCGGAGCCCCGTCGCGTATTTTCGGTCACGTTGGCTGTAGAAGTACCACTCCTTCCCTCCAACACATGCCACTTCTGTAAATAATATATAACGTTATGATTAAGTAACTAATTTTAGCTTAGGTACTACACAATTCAATGGTAATAATAAAAGATATGATCTTTGTCTAAATGAGATGATTACATAGTTCAATATTGATTGATTGTTTCTAGAAAATCATAGTAAGTTTCGACGTGACATGCATCATAAGAAGATAGGATTGAGTAGCATAAGAAACAAATAATAAAAGGATGAGAAAATGAAAGGAAAAAGGAATATGTCAATTTCATAGTATTATTATCGAAAATTAAGAAGATGATGATAAAAAGGGAAGGGGACCTGTTTTATTTTTGAAAAAATAGCCTAAACTTTTATGCATGGGTTAAGTGCTAAAATCTCTATCCAAAAATGGAGATAATTAATTATTGGAGGGCCATATTTATGCAAATGGCTTAGGTAAAAGATGTTGATGGGGAAATTTGAAGTTCAAAGAACCTACATGTATAGTGCGTGTATATTACTGTTCCTTTGAAAATAGATATGTAAAAGAAAGAATTATATTCCTACAATAAAGGGATTAAATTGACCCCAAAAAATTACTAGCTAGGTGATCAATTTTTGCTCAATTAATTTCATTGGAGATATATTTGCTTATCTCCAAAATTTATCATAAATACCTCGATTAATTTCATTAGATATCTATTATCTTTATTTATATATGTATTGGAAAAATACAAATGTCAATCCACATTTTGATGTTTATAACGAGTTTATAGCTAGTGATTTTAAAAATTAAAATAAGTAAAATTTTATTGTACGTGTATAAGCGGAATCATACCCCACCATTAATGCAAAAGAATAAGTGAGAACACTATTGATCCTCCTGATCGATGGGTAGAGTATGAAAAAAAGAAGAGGAATGGAACCAAGTGTCTACTTTGTTATTGTATTCTCGACAAATGTTTCTTTAATATATTTAAAATATTTCTTAATATAAATATACGATCATACACAAAAGTAATTGAATTCTTGAAAATCCGCTTTTACCACCCCTAATCCATCTCTGAAGATACATATCCAATAAATTTAATCGAGATAGATATAAACTGATCGAGACACTCTTAATGGCAAAAGAAAAATCGAGGATGTCGACAAGATAGCTTTAAAATTAAACGGGGTAAAGTTATGACCAGAATTAATGGTACTTAAATTTTGTCTAAATTGGAGTATAAATGTACACGCGTGTGGTCGACACAAGTCACTTAAGAGATATATATGCCATGTTGTAAGTTAATTGATCAATATTTGCATTAATCTCTATCGCTTTCACCATCTTTTGGTTCAACACAATATGCCAATACTGTCAATTTCTACAAAAGTTAATTGAATGAGAAACCTTATGAGAACCATTAATTCGTATATATCTCATATATCATTCACATATACAAATACAACTCAAAGAGAATCATAAAAATAATTAATTTTGTAAATTTAATATAATTTTTTAGCGAGAAGTGTTTATTATTATTATGTGATGGTTAATTTCTTTTATTAAAAAAAGTAATAATAAAGCAGGAGGACCATGGTAATAAATGTTCTGTGGTTACTTATTTTGGAAAATATAAATTAAAGACTTTGGGTTATAGACAGGAAAGTCAAGCTATATTGTAGAAATACTTTGAGAGCGTTTAACATACGCAGTGTGAACAAACGAATAAGCATAAAGAAAATTAAAATTGGTAAGTGTTAATGCTAACGAAGAAGACAATTTTAATTATAAATTTTTTTTTTCTAATTAAGACTAATCACAATTATTATTAGCAGTGTATGATATTCTTATCCACGAAAAATAGAAACCAAAAAAATGAAAACTTTGGACCAATCCGTTAGCTAGCTATCACTTGATCCACAACCCAACTATGTGGCACGAACAAAAAATTCATATATATAAGCATAAAAGTGTGTGATCAATTAAAAGATGTGAATGAAATAAATTCGAATCTACGAAAAAATTATAAGATTCTGTAAAAGTAATTAGTATAAACGTACCAGGAATTTCCCATGGTTCAGATTTATTGAGGTCAACTTCTATGAGAAGAGGGTATTGTTGTTGATATTCGGATTGTTGATCAACTTTCTTCATTAAGTAATCACAAATAAGTTCTTCATCTCTTGGATGGAATCTAAATCCTGGTGGTAATTTGGATTCCACCATGCTCAAGCTGTTGTTGTTACTCATTTTGAAGAGAAATGAAAAGAAAGAGGAGATTTAAGTGTATCAAAGTCCAAGGGGAGGTGGTTGATAAAAATATTTCCCTATTAACATCACTAAAATGGTACTCTACTACATCTATATATAAGCACTAGTTATTATAGTCCCATGGCTAATTTCAATATTATTTTAAATTACGCTATTTTGAACTGAAATAAAATTTAATAAAAAATTTCTTTTTTGATCTATATAATCGTATTTAATAAAACTTACTGAAAAAGTTATATGTATTCATGTTGACTAGACACAAAATTTATAAAAAAAAATGAAAAGTTTTGGAATATATAAAATATAATAGAAATTATTTTGAATAAATTTATATATATCGTGATATTTTGGTTATTTGGTGGCTAGCTAATAAAAGTGTATCACAAAAATAAAAAGAGAATTTTAAAATTAAGATAATAGTGTAAAAAGCATCCAACAACGACCCTTGAGTTTAAGAAGACAAACTAATTTTATTTCTTAATATAGTACTTAAAATATTATGTGTCATATTTTTAGAATATAGTAAAAGGAAAAAGAATATGTCATATAAAAATAGTAGATTTTCGTGTTGAGGACCTATTATTTATTTCTCTTGAGTAGGTAATTAGTAGGAAAATACATTCTTTTGTTCATTTATTTTTTAATTTTCACTAAATAAAATCAAGTGGTTAATAAGTCAACCAATAATTCCGTGTAATATAAAAGTGAGATTTGTATGGTTTGAATTTCTAAGAGGATTCTTTTACCTCACGTATGATGATGACGTGGCTCACCAATGGTTGCCTACTTGCTGACGTGTCTTTCATAACTGAGTCATTGCTTACTTGTTCGGAACTTAGATCCATTCTTAGCCAATTGTAAATATAAACCAAAATGAGTGTGTGAAAAATAATGTATACTTAAATTTGTAACATTTTTATCCTGAGAAGGTAAATCGATTCTTTCAAATTAATGATTTATAAATATATTCTAACTTTTTTTTCTTTTTGCATATATATTACTTGTTGAATTCTCTTGACATAATTTATTTATGTATTAATTTTTGGCTGTTGTCATCGAATAAAGGTGTACTTATTATATTTCTTTTAAAACCACTTGCTAATAAATCAGTTTATGTTGAGAGAATAATCTTATAGGACTACTTGAAATGGTTCAGACAAGTTAGAAGTTGCCCTGAAGAAATTCTCTATTTTAAATCAGAAGACAGAATTTTCTAAGAAATCGTCAAAAAATATTGTAGAAAATTATGTCTTCTGTTGCTTCATCGTGGGATAGGTTTGGTGCACCATAGAGTGTATCAGTATCATTCATAGTTTCTTGTTCTTTAATCTCTGTTATTATTTGTTGTTGGTTTTATTTTATTATTGTTCATTTGTTATGTTTAATTTAGTATTATATCTTTCAAAATAATTTTTTTTAAATCTCACAAGTTATGAGATAGAAATAAAATCTGCATATTTTATATCTTTTTCAAATACACATATATAATATTTTTTATATATACATATACATAGCATTTTGATCATTATTATGATAGATCTTACACAAATAAATTCTACTTTATAAATTATAAATATCAAACACCAAACAACGGTAGATAAAGAGTTGGCACCGAACCAGATATTGGCCACCATCTGGAAATAGAGGTTTCTTTCAGATTACTATTAAAAAAGGCCCACCCATTGTACTTAACTGTTTTGTGGCGTGCCAATTGAAAGCATGACGTTTTTGGACTGACCTTTTTCGGCAACCATTAAGCACTTGGATTTGGAGCCCATTTCAATTTGAAAGTCCACATTTTATTGAGCGATTTTCGTATATAGCAAATATAAATTCATATTTGTATGCAACAAAGTTTACATAATTGCACTGCATAATAAATATATAAATGTATAATTCACAATACATATACAATTAAAGCGAATTGAATAAAATAAAGTGTGTAAAACGAGAAAAAGAAAGAAATTTGAACAGAAAATTGTATAAAACGAAATGTATAAATTATAAGTATATAAAACAATTATATATAATTTGAATGTGTATAAAATGTGAAAGAGAGAAACGCAAAAGAGACTTGGACAGGGAATATACAATTGAATCGAATTGTATAAAACGAGAAAGAGAGAAATTATATACAATTTGAATTTGTATAAAACGAAAAAGAGAGAAAGACAAAAGAAACTGATCAGAGGAGCATTTTTACTGTATAATTATAAGTGTATAAGACGAAAATATATATTTACACATGTGCATATACAATTTTTTCTCGCTTTATACAAATAGAAACGCAATTTATACATTTCGCTTCTGTTTGTATAAGTAAGAGAGGCGACGGTGGCGAGCGAGATTAGGGAGAGTGGTGAGCGAGATCTGGGAGAGAGGAACAAAAATATATGTATTTATACAATTTCCTCTGCTTTATACAAATATAAACAAATTTTATACACTTGTGTTTGTATAAAGTGAGAGGAAGCGAGCGAGAGATGGAGCAAGAGAAGAGAGTGGCGAGCGAGAGTTTGAGAGAAATAGGTGACTGACAAACAGTTTGTTACGGGACACAACTAAATCAAAAGGTGATTATATCAATAAATTTGACTTATTAATTTCCTATTTTATATACAATTTTCCCTTTTTTTATTTGGATCCAATTTTTCACCTTCAATAGTAAGTCCCCTTGCCATTGGCAATCTAAATTTGTCCACAATTGACTATCTTTTTCAAAAGAACAATAATGATTAATTTTGGGGGCCTCGAGATCACCAAAGTTTCACTTAAGAGTCAAAAGAAAGTACTCATATTCCATACTGATTGCCAAACTTTTTATTATATACTATCCAATAAGAGTGAAATTCCTTTCTTGTGGTAGATTCACACTCTTCTTTTGCTCGTGTGGAGAATGTCATTTTTTCCATGATTTTTCAACTCTTTTCTGGTCGATCAATTGATTTGGTAGCTTTTTATAAATTTAATTTTTTGTTTCATGTCTTAAAAGAGAGTTTTAGATTTGGTAGCTTTTTTATAAACTTATTTTGTTTCAAGTCATAGAAGAGAGTTTTACTTTTACGTATCCAAATAATGAAATGATATTCAAAAGATCTTTGTAGAGTTATTTTTTCTTCTATCCATTCTTAATAAGTAAGTGCGCACCCACATACACAGTAGTAGTACATTTGCTCAAAACTAGGGAGTAACGTTTATAACTAGATCATTGTAAAATGACAGATTGATAATGTTTTATCATGCTAGGTCACACAAACGAGTTAATTATCTACTATATATTTATATAAATTGACATTTTCCAATGAACAAATTTTTTCAACTCCTCTACGCTCTAGCTTCGCCCGCGACGCTCTGAATGCCCATATTAAATGTCTTGTATCGAGTGAATTATATAATGACACCATTTTTACGTATAAATAGGGACACACCGCATGAGATGAAAATGAAAAAAAATAAAAAGGTTTTCCAATAAATAAATAATTTCGACTACGTGACCGAAAAATTAACAAAGCAATCTAGTCAAAATTGCTATTGATAATTGAATACACTTGATTAGGAAATTTTTAATGATTGATATAAGAGGCAACTAAATCGTTTAACTTAAGAAAAAGAATTGAATTAATGGCCACACGTCAAAAGGGTCCCTTTGGCTAATAAGAGTGGGTGTATGTGTGTTTTGCAATAATAGCCACACTCTAAAGGTAATATAAAAGCAGAATATATTCCAAAAATACATCCAGAAAAGGAAAATATAAGAAGATAAGATAATGAAAATGATTGACCATCAATAAATTATGAGAAAGATAGCAATTGAAGACCATAGCACCCAATATTTAGATGGGTTTAATTTCAAAGCATTGTTGGTAATTATAAATATTTATACAATTGGATCAGTATACAAATAAATTACTTGATAAATTACTATCTTCATCTTAATTTAATTTATGTGTCATACCTACTTAAGACGATCTTTTAATTTACTTAAAATAATTTACTTTTCGAATTTTCATTTTTTTTCTTATTAAGACAATTTATAATTAAATAAATGTATATGACAATTACCAAGTATCTTTCTTTCTTTCTTGAACTCCATCCACATAGAATCAAATATGCCACATATAAGTTTTGACGAAAAAAATACTTTGTATCTTGAGGAAATTATAAAAGAAATTTTACATCAGGTGTGTAACTTAAATCCAATTTGGATATTCAAGAGATTTTGAATAAAGAAACATGTACAGATTTGGCACTCCCCTATTCATAACAGTAAGCGTTGCCTTAGTTTCAAAGATTATTATAGCAGCCACGCAATGATATTCTTACTTTATGATTGTAAAACATGAGCAATTATTGAATTACTTTATAATATAATCTATTTAATTTTTTAAATAAAGCTTGTGGTAGATATACTATGGCAAATTACTTATAGTAGTTAAATATTATAAATTTTAAATTCATAGTTCAATAAATACAATATGTTCACACCAATAATCAACAAATTTTGAATGCAAAGTTAATTTAGAGGACAACTAATAAAGTGAGAGACAATTTTGAGGCCTTCGATATCTCTCGAGGGTTTTATTTGCCTTGATTCAATAAATAGACGAATTTATAGGTCACAAGCTAGATATGTTATCACTTATGTGAACCTCCCATATATTCCGAATGAATTGGTTGATGTTGTTTCTCTCTGTATATTGTACTCTCATATTTATAGTGGATTGCTCATCTCCTTTGTGAACGTAGGTCGATTGACCGAACCACGTTAAATCTTTGTGTCTTTTGGTATATTTCTCGTTGTCTTCTTACTCGTGGTCTTTCGAAGTTTGCTTTGCTAGCTTCCGCATTTACACCTGCTTATTTCGATCCTAACAAGTGGTATTAGAGCCATTTAATGACAGAGTCAGGTTCAGTGGTTCGATAATCGATTATTGGACCAGGTTAGAAAGAGGTGTGTTCATCTTGACAGGTGTAGTTCTAGCCGCAATCTTTTTGACAGTAATGAAGATTTTGTTGGAGAAATTGTTTCAGAGAGGTTTTCTATGTTGAGACATAAATTTTACAAAGGAGATTAAGAAGAAGAGAAGCAAGTTGTTGAAGATTAAATGAAGAATGTGGAGAAATTTATTTTGTCAGAAATACAGGCCAAGGGGGAGGAGATTTGTTGGATTTTATTTACCATAATTTCTTAACATAAATAGGTTTTCCTTTTAGGGAAAAATTTTGGATTGACTAATCCTTTTTCTAGTAAGAAATGGGACTCTATAAGTAGAGACATGTTCCTTCTAACTTAATCAGCATTTCCAATGTAGTCTTAAAAGACTTTGAGAGTTTTGGTTAGAGGGAGAATTTGTGGGTCACTAGCTTGATAAGTTATCACTTGTGTGAACCTCCCATGTAATTTCGAATGAATTGGTTGAGGTCATATTTATAGTGGATTGCTCATCTCCTTTGTGAACGTAGATCGATTCACCGAACCACGTTAAATCTTTGTCTACTTTTTAATATATTTCTCGTTGTCTACACGTGATCTTTCGAGGTTTGCTTTGCTAACTTCCGCATTTATACCTGCTTATTTTCGGTCGTAACAACTTCTAAGTCTCATTTAGCTACTAGGACTCTATCATAATAACTTTGTTCATTATCTTTATTAATAACCTATATTTTCTTTCTTATATTCATTTTATGGTCAAAGTAATAGTTAGATTTATTTTGGTAGAAAGTTCTATTTAGAATAGTGTTGAATATGTCTTCGTCTTGAATTTTCTAGGAAAAGTCAAAAGATTTGTTCCTTTCTTTAAAAAAAAGTTGCTTATGAAACACTCAGCCTAAAAAAAAAATTAGATCATGGAAAAAGATAGCCATAAATATCCAAATCAAAGATTTTAAAACAAATAATTATAACAAAGCTTTTATTATTAGAGCCTAGTTAAACAATAAAATTCATTGCTAATTTTATTTAGTAATAGATTATAATGAATTATAAACAACATATGTTAGCCATGAAGTTCGTAGTCAATTTCATTTGTTGTGGTTAGATTATATCATATTAGAGACGTGGTTAATATCATAGATAAAATCTGCCTTTTATCTGTGAGAAATATTGTCATGCTATAATAGCTAAAAGTTAAAATGCTATATAAATTAATCATTCATCCTATACTGACAAAAGAAGATCTAAAAGTTCATATTAATTCAATAAAAGTTATCTATATCATGTTTATGGAAGAATGTCACTAAATATTTAAAGATATTTGATCGTCAACCTACTTATTCTTAACATAAACTAGAAACCCATAAACTTCAAATGAAAATTCATTAGAGCAATCCTACAAAGGGGGATGTAGAAAGAGTTGGTACTTAATTTCATTAAATTTTTTTAAGTATAAAGCCGCAATATTCAATAGTTTGATTCTAGATAGACTTCAAAAACAAATAACTGATAAGATTCAAGCCATTTTCATCCAGCCATGAGAGTTCAATTTATGACAATAAGTTTTAAAGTTCGGAAATGCAAGTTTTTGTATTTTATACCAAATTCCTTGAATACTTTCCTTTTGCTTTGATAGCAACTGATTGAGTAATCCTGTTTTTAATAGTAACCATGAGTATATCTTTCCTCCTAGTGGGAATTTCAATGTCATTCTTACTAATATCTGATTTGTTAATGAACTAACAACTGTACTAAACAACAAATATTTATTCAAACTTTCACGTGTGTTCACTCCAAAAATTGCCACCTGTTAGATCCCATTTTTCTCCATGTCTTAATCAAAAGTCTCCTGAGGTTAATGCTCCGACGGCGAGCAACTTTGGACCTTTGAATTCTACCCTCTAGAAAACTCTTACTATGAAGAATATTAATATTTAAATTGAGGTGGAGGTGACAAAATTTACTTCTTTTTATACAGAAGACCTCTTATATTGGTGCTTTTTAATTTTGAGTGTACACGAGATATGCCTTTAAATTTATATAAATTGAATAAATTAACACGCACGTCCTACTTCTACATGATATTATACGTGCATTTACTTGTTCAATTTTGTATTATCACGCTCAAAGTTGAACGACATATATATATATATATATATATCTCGCAAGCTGATTAAGCATAAGTCATACGTAAGGTGCAATTGTGAGTTCAACTGGTTTGAGGTTTTTTGGATAACAGTGTAGACGATATGTTTAAGCTGTTAACATACCAACTAATAAAAGAGACAATGGACTACCCTTACCCCAAGTTGAAGAATACACATAAAAATGCTAAGACTACCATTTTTACTTAAAGCAAGATAAGGAACTTGTTCTACCGTGTAAAGCTCAGTGGGAATATGTAAAAAATATTCTAGCCTCCATGGATTGAGGTTCGTTTCCTAATAATATTAGAAAATGGAAGGGAGGATTTGATAATGAGACAGAATTATTAGGTTTATAGATAAGTAAATACAATTAGGCCTGTCTCCATCATTCCAGTATCATTACACATACGCAAGTCCGGAAGACTCTGTGTGCATCAGTTCGGCAGAGCATTAACCAAAGGTTAAACATTGGTGTACTCAACTCAGTTTAAAATTACCACTTTTACACACGCATTACTTATTACGAGGGTCTATTGGAAATGGTCATTTTAATAGGAATATGGTCAGAGTACATCCCACCCTTCCCAGAGTCCCACTTATACTGCGTATGTTGTTGTTACACATACACATTAGTCCACAAAGGAGTTAAATTCCTCCTAACCAAAAGATATAAAAAGAATGTAAGGAGTTAGCAATGTACCTTCTGACATTTGCAAATCTGTACACTTCATACCACTCCCCAATATCAACAGAAAGTAGTACTCTTTAAAGATTTTGCAAGTCATTCTCTCCTGCAGGTAAACCTGCACTACATTCTATTTAGCAATGGTAATCATGATAAACAATGCACTTTATAGTTTGTTGCAACTAACTAAGCTTCTATTTCAGCCTTTACATAGACTAATCAACAGCACGATTACCATACACCACAATCCAGACACTTATGTAATAATAACATATAAATACAAGAACGAGTTATCTGCGAGGAACTTGAAATCACTCTAAGGAAGCAAGAATAACATAATATAAAATGTGTAATTAGCTTAAAGTTCATGTCATCACCTGTCATTTGTCTATTGTCCTTGAATACTTCATAGGACAGTGGACACAACCCTCCACAACTTATATATTAAAAAGGACAATTTCTCATGACATTACATCCCAAAGTGAATAAAGGACAATATCATAATCATAAGAACCCTGAGTAGTCAGAATGTGAAACCAACATTTAAATTAGCAATAGGTTGGATATATATTTCAATTGATAACCACATTCTCATTCTTGGGCTTGTCTTCTCACCTTGAGAAAAGACAGCAGTATATAAACTTGAGATCAAATGTGTAAAGAGACACCTTGCAAACCAAATATCATCTATAGATAAATAAATATAATACCATTTCACCACTAGAGCTTCATTTTTTGCTTGGACCATGTACAAAGCTAGGTCCTGGTTGCAAAATTTTTCCTGTTTCTTCTGTTCTTCTTTTTCTGGTTAAAAAGACATCTGTAATAATATAGCTTGTTCCTGGTCGCAAATTGCTTCCTTTCTTCTGACATTTTTTCTCTTGGTTAAGGAAGATTTATTAAAAAAAGGATAACACAGAAGCGGTCAAAATATCTGAGAACAAATCATAGCAACACAGTATGTTGAATCACATTTTTAGAGACTGTAGAAAATTTTCTACTTTCTAATTTTCCTAGCTATGATAGCCATATTCCTCGGAGATAACACAGGATTAAAAATAGGTAAGAGGCTTGCCTCCAGATCACTGCCATACTCCTGGAGGAGCAACAATCGGTCAAGCAGTATAAGAGTTTCCAAAACGGGGCCCAGGGCAGCACGAAGAGACCAATAAGGTCCTATTAACTCCTGCGGAACGTTAATTACTTTTATCAGAGTAAGAAAGATTCTTGTTCCTTTTAAGGAATCTTTTTGGTTATTTATCAGGCCCCAAAAAGAATATAAGAAATAACAGACATCTTTACTTTCTCGAGAACAAAACCACCAAGGATCACACATAGACATATTTTGAGCTAGTTAGGACTGGTAAGTTCAACTCATGAGAATCTGAAAGTACAATAATGCTGTACATAATGTACAACCACCAGATCTCCATTCCTAAGTGAAAGCTATTACATCGACTAATAAACAACAAGGCTCCAATATTGTGGTACTTCAACTTAATTAAGATATTTTTGACCTTTTAAAATCACGTCAATCAAATTGATGCTGAGAAGAAATAGTTGACCATTTAAAAATCATCCAACTATCCACAAGAGGTTTTTGCCAATGACTTGCAGTTTGAGCAAACTGGACACCTCTTCATTAAAGTAACGGGTCAAATCTTGGCCAGCCGATAAGCAAAGGAAAACAGAACTAATATACTGTCTTGTAATTTGTTTTAAAAAGGTAAAGGAAAGAGAACAAGGTTTCTGAAATTGCATTTGCATTTGATTTACCGCTAACAGTTTTTAAAGTACAGCTAGACTGTATTGGGTTTCTTCATGTTGTAGTTTTCAAGTACAGAAGACAACTAGTAATGCTCCAAGGAAATTAAAAGTAATAATGTCATGAAAGATCTTCTACTTACAGCGTATGATTCAGACTCCCTCCAGATTGCACTGTAAGCTGTATCCGCCAAATGAGGGAGATGTAAACGACCTAACCCAGACTCGCAAAATTTTGCAAATAGTGAGCATCTGTCCACAGCGTTAGACTCGCTATTAGAACTCTGAATAGAAGAGTATTCATGAAGAAACGCCACACTCTCCCGTGGTTCACCTGCATAGAAAGCACTTAAGAGCTTATTTTCTTAATAGGTAGCCTTCATAAAGCTTCGAAATTTGGGTGTATACAGTCACTTGTGTTATTTCAATTGTTTAGGCGACCGATGTTGTGTTTAAATTTTTAAAAAAATGTTCATGGAATGTCAGTTGCATCCTTCCAGTTTTGGGGCGTGACAATAAGATATGTACAGCATAAAATGATGAAATCTACAACTTACAAGGCTGGTCAAAATTATATGATATATCTTAAGAATAAGCATTTGACAGAAGTTATAATGAATACTAGATATACCTTGAAACCCAATTAAGTTTATCAATGGTATCTATCCTTCACAATACTCACCAGATTCTGACGACCCCCCATGATGCAAATTGGATTCCAGGATCCTTTGATTCTGTTGGCGCCGTAAGGCTTTCCCCTGACGCCCTATTGTAGGGCTTTCTAGCAATATGCTAGGATAATGTCTGAAGAGAAACTTCACAATAACTGCAGGTTAGTGGGCTATCGCTACTATTGGCAAAATGTTTCAACGGAAGGACTCGTAGATAAGCCCAATGAAACTATAAATTGTAGACCAAAATGAACAGCACGTACAATCTGGAAGGCAGCACGGAATGCATGCAACTCAAAGTTGTGAAGCCCTGCGTTCTCACCCAAGCCCCTCCATCTATCAGCACTCTGTTAAAGCAACTCAAGGTCAGATACAATGAAAAGGTGAACAGCTTTCGAGATGCAATAAATTTGGATGTTATTTCAAGCAAGTTCTACCAGCAAGGGTCAACAAAGAATAGTATAATACTTATCTACCTGACAAGCTAGATCACGAGCACTTTTTGCAAGTATTACTCCAGCAGATTTAACACCTTGGCTTACAGGAAAACCACAACAAGAATCCGCTTCGCAAATGGCTTCCTCAGAAAGCAAATTATAACAGCAACCGACGCTAATCACCGCCTTAGCTTTGTCACATTCCAAGAATGTCCTTAAATTATAAGAAATATTGAGTCAACTGTGCATCACACAAATATCAAATTGGGAGGGACTATCATAATTCATAACCTAAAACGATTCTGTAAAGCAAACTAAGATAAGAATAAGCCAATTAGTAATAATTGAACCATAAAGTGGAGGCCTGAACTTATTCCAATTGGTATTTTAAGGTCTTAGAATGACAAAAGGAGAATAATAGACATGGAATATCCGTCTTTTTGGACTAGTGTTTCATGTACTAAAGAACGCAAGTCGGACTTCACTAATCAGTCAGACAAATGGAGTAGTCCATGAATATGTATGGTCATCCTAGCACCCTTTAGTTATTGTTTTAGGTCAGCACCACCTCATGAGACTTAGGAAGGAGCACAATATACAATATGGTACCCACCTCAACATTGTCACCGAGAGGTCTCCACAGGCATGAAGTCCAGCAATAACTAATGTAGAATCACTACAAGACCGAGAATGTGGTATATCCTCAGCAAATCGAGATGGCTGAGAGACTGAACTTCTATTGCCCATATGTTGATTCCCTGCATGATCCTTCTCTATTAGGGAGTTACTCAAGGCCTTCAGTGTATCAGTAGACAGCACTCGGCATGTAACTGTCTTTGGCACACTAAGCTCTCTCGGTTCAGAGCTGGAAAAAAAGGGAAATGGATTACGGAAAAGCATTCTGAAAGAGGAACACATCCAATAACATGACACAAACTACTGATCCTAACTAAGTGTAACTATAAATCAGATTGATGTAGAGCATTGACACAGAAGCATAGTTTGGTCAACTGGACAATGAATACTGCCAAATTTCTGCAACAAATCAGCTTTTCTCAAACACCCCAACCAGTGTACCTAATAAAACGTATTTCATGTGCGCACATTAATTTCTTTGGATAAACTAAGACAGTATTGCTTGTTAGTCTTAACCTATGTATTTCGTTTGTCTGAAAATAAGGTAGGCGGAGATTACTGCCCACCACTGTTATTTATTGTGTAACGTTTATCAGATTATTTCCCTCTGTGAGAGAAGGAAGAAGTTTTTCTTTCTCCAAACTTCTTAGAAGATAAACTTCCTCTATAGTCCTAAAGTTTATAACTCAAGTTGCAGCAGTTAAAAATTTATTTCCCTCTGTGAGAGAAGCAAGAAGTTTTTCTTTCTCTCAACTTCTTAGAAGATAAACTTCCTCTATAGTCCTAAAGTTTCAATTCACAGCCAAGATTTTAAGACCACTTTTTAGGTGTAAAGATTTCATTAGCATAAGGAATATGTGCTGCATATATATGATAATTTCAACAAATACGCGTTCTGAGACTCTACCTACCAATTTTTACGCATCTTAGCTGCATAGTGTTTCCTGATTCGCTCTGCACGTGCATCAGTAATCTTGCCATGATGTGAACAAGCATCAATAGCAATTACCGAAAGCTGGTAGTCAAAAGCAAGCACTTGTGCAAGATAACCCTGCACCACATGTACAGTCTAAGTAGATGCAGTTGGCATGAAACCAGATAACCCAGATGATTATTTCTCCGCACAAACGAGTACTAGAATTTATTTTTTTTTAGTAAGGCTTGGATCCAGTAGATGCTGAAAATTACATCAGTGGAAAACAGGTTAGCACAATCAACCTTCCTGATGAATTCTAAGGAATAACAAAGTCAAAATATTCATTGAAACTATTGGTAAGAAGGTTACTCCAGTAGAAAAGGTTCACAAGGCCTTTTCAGTGACCTGAACACGTTCGTTCTTATTACAACTTTAATTCTGTTTTGTACAATATTTGAATGAGATGAGCTTATATGGAGCGGCATGAAGAGTGAAAATTCTACCTGACCCAAACTTTCTTGGGATTGTGGCATAAATGTTATTGCAATTAGAATTACTAGAAAAATTATTGGATTTTTCTTTCAACACTATCAGGAGTAATTGCACCTTAAGTCTGTCCGACGATCAATTTAATAAACCAACATGGAATTACTACAGCAACATACCCAGAATCTTATCCTTACCTTTGTGGGTAGAAACCCAACACGGAATTGATGCAAAAAATATTAACTAGCACCATCTACAAACTCGAATAGAAGTCCTTGGTCATGTAGAGTCTATACCTATGTATTGAGTCATTCTATCAAATTAAGATAAAATAATAATTAATTTATAATCCTAATATGCAAACATAGATACACACTTATATGTATCAACACTAAAAGAGGCAAAATATCTGAATTGCATAGGAACAAGCTTGATAGTTGTACAAAAGCAGAAGTAGACACACCTGTCCAGCACCAACATCAACAATTGTTCGGGCACCAACTTGCTTTGCGACTAAGCTGACCAGAGCAGAAAGTACTTCCACCTGCTTAGACAGTATTTACCATTCTATCGTTCAGGTTAAGAAAATTGAACCCATACACGGAACCTGCATTAGTTGGTTTTCTGAACCTAAGCTCAATGTAGAAATTATTTTTTTTTTTAAAAACACTCGTATATCTTTGATCCATTTTGTTAAAACTTCTGAAAATTTATTACATTCTTTCATTCAGGTTGAGAAAACAAAATGAACACTGAAACGGATACTTAGAGCAGCACATAGCTAGAAAATTCAATGTTAGAAAAAAACTCCAGCATCACATAGCTAAAGGCTAATATTAATAGCTTGATGGTAAAAAAAAAAGAAGAAGCTTTCGCAAATGACCTGATATCAGCAGGTGGTGCACACAAAAGACTCAAAGCAAAGAATAAAACACTGTTCCACAGATTTGTAGCCAACCAATTGAGCACAAAGATAGGAGTGTAAGAGGACTAAGCTACTTTCATGCCTTACTTCATGCTTTTTCTTATGATTCATGCCTTGAGCTAAAACATTACTTAGTGAAGCTATGTGCATTCCTGAAAATTCCTGCAAGCAAACAGAAGAAGAAGTGAAATTCAATTCCTGACTCCCTTGTGAAATGTTAGTCTAGTTATACAGATATCATAACCCAGATGCCACAGCAACAAACCAGAAGAAATGCCACCAGTAAAGAAAGCTATGTGTACAAAACTTCAAATATGGGAAAAGCATGAGTAAGAACAATGGCATTCGAGAAGTCGAAAATCTCTAATGGTAAATCTATAACTACCATGTATCACAAATTTAAGAAAAGAATGATAATAAAAATAAATATACCTGAAAATCAGCCTGTTCACGTGAAAGACAAAGAGACCTCAGAGTAAGTATGAAGTCTTTAAGTGAGCCAGGCCAGTGATCCTAACAACACAAATAAACAAAGTCAATTAACAAAGAAATAGGTCATCTTACTGCTATAGATACTATAGTTGGGAGACAATAAAGTACTTGTTTCCTCTCATTTTTTTTCCTTTTAGTTCTGGATAGGTGACATTAAACTCAAGTATTGAAATTCTTGTTATTTAAAACCATACAGCAAAAGGAATAGATACCATAAATATGGTTATATTTATCCAAATTACATTTGCTATAATTAGTGGCCAATCAAGCCAATGGAACTTTGCTATTCGTTGAACTTGTCATATTCAAAGATAAGCTCACATCGTAGTATTGAGCAGTGAAACTATGTGCTACTGCTTGACCCTGTACAAGTAATTCAACACAAAAAATGTGAAATTCTTCTTCCTGAAAAGCAAAGCAGCAAATGAACCTCCTAGTAACTCTACACTTCCGATAACTCAAACTAACCAAACAAATTCGAACTAGAAATGATCCAAGTACACATGAACTCAACAATATCAAGTTTAAAGCAAAAAACATATGTGCTTATATCTACCTGAACCACACCAGAAGGAATCCGGAGAAGATTTTCAACCGACTCCTTCTGTAAACAATCCATCCATTCTTTATCCACAGCTTCCCATAGTCTATCCTGCATATACTCGCAAACAATTTCCAAGTTTACACATGAAATAGCAGCAGAGTGCAATATGCAAAGCATAAACAGTAGCAAAAATAGATCAATTAAATCTTATGTAAACTGAATAGAAGGTGAAGACCTTGAAAAAGTTGACGACATGAGCATCTATAAAATAACGATAAGGTGCAATGAAGTTGATAATTGCATGGATCCATTCTAGGGTTTCACTGGCAGTGTTGCAAGAATACTTGAACTCTTCAGCCATGGAGGGAAGATTTGCACTAACAGAGAACAAGGTGAAAAACAACTTAAATGTAATAAAATATGCATTTCCATAAGTATCAAGCAACTGAGAAGTGACATAGACAGTCTAACAATGCAATATGCTAACCACTACTCCAAAACAGAATGTATACTCATTAACCATTGTTTTGTCGATTCTGGGTTTTACCGTTGCTAGCTTCTTTGTGGAAGAAGAGAATTGGGCTGAAATGGTCGTAATTATGTTCAAGTGTAGGAGATGCAATAAAAGGCCGGGTCCTATCAGCGCAAATATTTTGAATTGGGCTTCGATGGTATTGTGTGGCCATTTGGATCTGAATTATTACAAGTATGGGTCATTACACCATTTGTTTTGTAGGTAAAAATAGTTGAAATTTTAATAATTTTTTGAATAAGAAGAAATAGTACTCGAAATTTCATCACACAAGTTCAGAGTTTGAAAAATGTTTTTTTAAGGGAAACTCTAGTATTGAAGTTTGAAATTTTTACAAGTGTAATTCCAGCATACATTTTGTGAAAATCCAACAAAATATGATGATTTTTTACCTGTGACATGGACTAACTAGACATGTTTCAACTACTACTCATCGCTTGTTTCAACTACTCCTTCAATCTTAATTAACATTAAAGCGCTTTATAATAAAAATTGAAATAGGAAACTTAGGGATAAGAATTAAGGAAGGAATATCTATCTTACCATCAAACAATTGTTGATGATACACATTGGGTAATACCCTATGGTTAGGATTATGAAGAACCAAATAAAGGAAAAGCAAAGAAGTGAGAGTGTTGCACAACAAAGAGACATAAGAGTACTTTCAAGTTACAACTCATAATAGCACGCTAGAAATTGCAACAGTAGGGAAAAGAGAAACAGATCAGATAAATTTAGGCAGCTTTAATTTCCCCACTACAAAATTATAGTATATTATGTATAAAAGTTCTCAATCGTTATCTACTTTTCCTTTTCTCTTTTTTTTTTTCTTCAACAACTATAGCTAATTCACTGTTTACTCAACTTCTAAAATTGTACATCTCTCTGTTTCCTTTTCTTATTAAATTTTAAATCAAGAGAGCAATATTTTTCTATTTGACTAGTCAGTCTCGTACAGTTTTTACGAAAATGCTTTTTGTATATAACATTAAAGGTTATTTATAATTCTACACACCATACATACTATGCCACACAAGTAATATTAATTAACAAAGTCTTCCTGTTGAATTAAGGCAAAACTAGCACAGTGAAATCAAATTTGAAACTGTTGTTTGTTCACTCTTCACTATTAATTGTTGTTTTTAGTATAGAAGTACTGTTAGCAACAGCAATTTGTCGTTTACAAGTAGAATACCTTGCTTTTCATATTCATTTATTTACTATTGCATGTGGATGTGACCACTCACTTCTCTTAACATTTATTACCGTTGCTTTCTTTAACTTATTCAACTTTTCAAAACATTTACACTAGAAAAGATTTTTATGTGGAACCAAGTAAAAACTACTCACTTATTACGATATGTGAGATACGTCTCAAACTTTGGAGAATAATTTAAGGTTACAACTCATAACCTAAGGAATAATCACCAACAATCAACTAAACTATTTTCAAAGAGTACTACTACAAATTAATAAAGGGAAAAAGGTTAAAAATGCCCTTAAACGTATTGAAAATGGCTCAAAAATGTCCTTCTTTCATCTATTAGATCAAAAATGTCCTCTCATCTACCTATTTGGATCAAAAATGCCCTTAGAGTCAAATTTAAGCCTAAAATTACCCTTACCTTTAACAGAAGCTGATGTGTCAAATATATATCTTTTAGTTAAATGTGTGGCATTATTTTATCGGTCCACATATATTAGACCCACTTTCATTCATAATCATACCCATTAATCCGAACCCATTTCCCCCACTTTCTTCATCTTTCTTCTAAAAAAATTATTTGGAATATTAATAAAATAATATCAAAACAATCAATACAAGAACATGCATTTTTCTAAAAAAATTCAGTCTTTCCTGAGCTAATTGGAGATTGAACTCCTCCTCAACTGTTAGAGACTCCGTTTTTAAATAAAAAAAAATGTGATAAACAACATGGCTTGATTTGATGAGTGACTTGCTTCCATGGGAGATTGAATGTATGATTTTTTTTTGTTCCCATTTCATCAAATTCACTCATTCTTTTGATACGTTTTGGGTTACAAATTAAATTGCACTTATCTTCACTACCATAAAATTAGTAGGTCAATTAATATTTTTTTCGAGAGAATGATGATATATAGAATTTTTTATAACCTTTTTTTAAAGATTTGAATTTACCGAAAGAATTTGATAGTATTTTATTAATCCTCCAAATAATTTTATAGAAGAAAGATGAAGAAAGAAAAAGTAGGATCTTTTAGAAATGGATTTGGATTGATGGATATGATTGAGAATGAAATTGGGTCTAATTACATGTGGACCAATAATCATAATGCCAACACATAAAATTTTAAATATTATTTTTGTTACATCAGCTTCTGTTAAAGGGATAGATATTTTAGGTTGAAATTTTACTCTAAGGGCATTTTTTATCCAAATAGGTGGATGAGAATCCAATAGATGGAAGAAGAACATTTTTTTGAGCTATTTCTAATACCTTAACGGCATTTTTGATCTTTTTCCCATTAATAAAACTCAACAAATCAAGCAACTACGTTCTTTAATTAGTTCAATAGCTGATTAGCTATGATAATAATATTTTATTATAACGATCTAACTTTAATTTGATTTGGAATTATTTTTAATGTCATGCGTTATAGAGTGGTAATAATTTAAAATATATTGAGAGAGATGCATTCATGCACTATTTGAGTCGTTGTTCCTCTGTGGTGTGTAGCAGAAGAGGGATGAATGTTGAATTTTGGTCTCGTGATAGATGCATGGATGGATTTTGTAGACGACCGAATATTTCCAAATCCCATTATTTCTCCTTAATAAATTAGTATCTACATCAACATCACTAAAGTACTATACTATCATTATTTATTTATTGAGGTAAAAGAGAATCTCGTGAACCGACAATTTCATTAACATCACCTTCCTAATAAATATCTTTCATTTTTAAGAAAAGGGTTCAAATTTTAAAAGGAAATTTGAATTAGTTAGGATTTAAAATGGTACGGCACAATATAATTTGAATATTGTAACATATCCAATATCTTGAGTAACTTCTTTTATGATTCAGTGTGATACAACCAAGTTAATTAAAGAGGTAATATATTTTGTTTTAATTACTCATAAATAATTTTTTGAAAATATCGTATAACAAGATAGAAAGCAGAATAGTTGAACCGAGATGGAGAGGATTTTACTATGAAGAAATAGTTGAGCATATAATTTAATTTGTTATAGTAATTAGTAATAATAGCATATCTATGGGCTCTGGTGGTATATTCCAAATTACTCTGACGATATATATATGAATTGAGTCGGATTTTATTTATTTTTTAAATAATCTTTCCAACTTTATTAGATAGTAGAAGTTAGCTAAATGTGCATACACATTATTTTTTTCGAACCTCGCTTATTAAATTATACTAAATGAACCGTAAGTGTTAAACCTTGAGGTAATTTAAAACTTTATCATAATCATAATTATAATATTCTGATGTATACATTGAACAAATGTGGAGACATGGAAAATACATCTAGATATATGTAGATACTATCCTTTCTAGACAGAGCTTATAAATTATCAATGAAATATGTTATTATCGGAGATAATTATATGAACTCTAAGTGTATTTAAATCTTGAGCTAATTTAAAACTTTTATCATAAATCATAATTAAAAAATGCATTTATTCAAATCTGAATGAGAAAACCTCAAGTATGACAAAAAACAATATTGGCTCATTCCATTCACCACAAGACAAATATATTGCATTCACCCAAGACATTTCCTCAATCTATATGTCTCCTTTGGAACTAAGAAAGAGACACTGTATATATTAACAACTCTACTATTGATTTTTTTTATATATTTATATATAAAGACAGACAAATTCACTGTGCAACCATATTATATATTTAAGAATGTAGACAAATCAATACATTATATTATTAAGCAAAGGTTAAAGAAAAAGAAGAAAAAACAAAGGTATGGTTGATAAAATTAAGGCAGGCTGCAGGGAGTTTGCCTCACTGTCTAAACTAAACAACAACTTGTACATCAGCTTTTTTCAATTCTAATATTTGTCTTTGGTTTGCTCGTTAGTTGCTTAAGTACATGCTAATCCACTAATTTCATAATTAAACTATTCTAATACTATATGCTTTTGTTCCCAAAACACCTTTTCTCAGATACTAATATTTTTCAATAATTTACACAGATTTTATTGATGTTTGCATGTGCACCTCAAGGTGAAACCTCACTCGGTGGCTCTTTCCTTTACTCATACCGTGTAGATTATATTTTTAATCGGATTCATTTAAATTTGTGTTTATTGAAATTTATGTGTTAGGTTGTTCATTTGGGCGCTGCTACTTAACATATATCTATTGTCATTAAATTTTTTGTATGTCTCCCTACTTTAGAGCTTAGATATGTAGTAGAAATTTCTATTTGAAATCAAAAAAAAAATTAAAAATTTGTGAAATTATAATTTGATAAATACGATCTTAGATATGATTTTGAGACACGGGGTATTTAAGAGGTGGATGAATGATGATGACCAAAATGCAAACGAATATTGGAAGCTAAGGCTGCAACTGCAACATCGACTACTGCGACAATTGTATAGTAAATGCTACGGAGAGAATCGGTTAAATTTTCTCTCTGTATCACTTTTTCCTTTACGGGCACTAGAAAAGAACCTTTAGGCTGCTCCACTAACACTATGCTACTTAACACTAAATCTGCACATTCAATGTCTATATCAAAATTCAATAATACTCTCTTTCACACAACAGATTAGAGCATTTTTTTTATAAATTTTACAACATGTAATTTGAGTTTTAGAGCAAATTTTTGTATTGCCAATGCCGATATCTGAGTGAGTAACCCTATGAGTCCATTGTAAAAACCATTGGTCAAAGTCGAGCAACTTATCATGGAAATTCCAAGCAGATAAAATCGAGAAATTTGTAAAATTTCACACTTTCAATACAAAGAAAAATTGACTAGTCAGTGATGAGGAGCTATACCTGTACTCATAGTATACTAAAGAATCGGACGTATATTTTGCAGGACTCTAAAGAAATCGAGCAACATACATTAAAAGTGGATAAGAACGGTGAAAGGATCCAATCACACAATTCGCGCTCTCTACCGATCAAAACCTATAGCATTTAAATTCTGAACCGTTAACCAAAACAAAGGAATGGTCAATTTATTGGAATCAATTGGTACTCTTCCATCAATTTACATAATTTAGATTTTAAATAGGATGGAGACAACGACAATAGAAAGAACTGTTATATCTTTATCTGATATTTTACACTACAAAATTCACACATGCATGGACCTCCTTCAGCTCTTCCCCACTTTTTTTCTATCTTGTCTTCAAGTAGAAAAAGAATGGTTACTATTTTGGATTAACAAATTCCATGTTATATTTACTTGCAAAAGCTGCAACATCCCCGCCCTGCGGTAAAAATCACTGCTTTGTTTAAGATAAAAATCATGTTGATTTAACATAAACATCCAATTCCTAAGTCTTTTAGCTGAAAAAAAGAGAGGAATTGAGTGTTAGAGTAGAGAAAGGTGTTCTCGAACAACATTTAATGGGACTGTAGATGCAGAGTTTCCACATGCTAGCACCGCATATGTATCAATTATCCAATCTTTACGAGTTCATTGCGTTTTTAAATTATATCGAATATATTATTATTTTCCTAATAATACTACATACAGGTCCTTATAAAGTGTAGTAGCTAAGGGATCAGACTGACGTGCAAAAAACAGATTGATCAGCAAAACCTGCCATCTTCTCAGTGTGTGTATTCAAAAAAAAAATAGCACTCAGCATTTCCCAAATTTCAACACGAAAAAAGTTAAAAGAGAATAAAAAAACAAAAATGAATAATATTAGAAGAAATAATATTTCCAGTAGAGCATAGCAGAGAAAGATGCCAATGCATGTCACGTTACCTTCTTCCTTGTGACCAGAAAATGCTACAGTGATCTTAAATACAATCATCACGACCATCCATGGCGCGTGGTCGTCAAACGCTTTAGCACACATAAACATCATTTCATGATTCATGATTCATTCAACAATGAAAAGAAAGGGATGAACTTTTAGGAAAAGTAGAACAGAGATTCCCATAGCTTTCAGGTACAACAAATATAATAATAATAATAATAAGATTTCATAAAAAAAAAATCAAAAACATTAGCTTTCAACATCAGAGTTAGCAAAGAAGAAGAGAACAATGGAAGTAAAACAAGCTAAGAGTTGCCCGCATATTTACATGATTTTTTTTTCCTAAGCCTGTAGAAATCTGGAAAAATTGCATGAAAAAAAAAACCCTCAAAAATCTAACGGAAAAAGGGTAATAATTACCAAGTTTCTAGCCTAAAAAACTTTCATTCTTTGATGCGATCTGTTCTGGGTCTGATGTTACTGTGATGGTGTCCTGCTTTGTTTCCGCTTACAGCAGAAGATGAAGATGAAGAAGAAAACAGAGGAAATCCGAAGACCCCTGATTTTGAAGAACCTCTAAGGGAACAAACGGGGACATTGAGAACAGGCGTAACACGGACATTAGCTGAATAAGATCTCTCCATTCCTCTGTGTTTATACCTGGGTCCACCATTGAAGGTGCTCGGACTGCTTGAACTTCTTTCTAGGCTGTGGAAAACAATCTTACCCGACGAATTCATGCGAGGACTATCAACAGAGGCTCCTCGAACAGTGGTGACACTAGAGTCTGATTGTTTACGAACTGGGCTTCTGCTAGCTCTATTAGCAAGGGGATTCTCTGATGACGACACTCTATACTTCACAACACGAACCCTGCGGTGACTAGAGATATGATTTGCATTTCGAGAGTAACTGTTCGGTTTATCTGAATCAAGCGAGAGTCTAGGAAGATCATCGTAGTCATGGCCAGAAGAGGAAGATGAAAGAGATAATCGAGAAGAAATCGAAACGGACTCTGTATCAGAGTCCTTCAACAACGGAAGGTGAAGAGACGAGTCTAGAGAAGAGCTTAAGGACTTTGAGTTGCGATGAAGGAAATTTTTCAGGGATTTATGAGCAGCACTGCTCGGTAACGACGAGGTTCTCTGAGTTTCCTGCTTGGCACTGTTGTTCTGATTCTGTTTCTTCAAGCCTAGAAGCTCCCTCCATCGTGTAGTACACCTCGGTGCTTTCGGAGAGAACAAATAAGGATCCGCATTACAAATCTCATTTCTCATCCGAACTTGAGGTGTATCCGGTGATGCGGAAACAGCAGCCGACGTCGTAGCAGCAGGACGGATCATAGAGAGATGAAGCGGCACCAGCTTTCCATCGAAAAAAAGCTCATCAGCTGGCAGCATATTTACCGGATCTTCAAGGCAAAACTCAAAATCGCCCATATCTTTCGAAACTTCTGGATCTAATTCCTCCACCTTATCATTTTCAACACTCGTCTGCTTAGCTCCGGCAACCTTGGAAGCTTCGCCGTCCCTACTAAATGACATCCTTGGACTTAACCAACCATATGACTTGTACTTCGCAGCCGGAGAACAATCCAAAAACTTCTCCGGCGACATACCCATTTTGTTAACGCAAGCTGAAGCCATAATTTCCGGCGTACATACAAATAGAAGAAACGTTAACGTAACGATTACAGAATGGAATATATATATATATAAAAAGAAAGAGTCAAAGATCCCAAAAAAATGCAAAGCAAGAGAATAGGTAGCTAGGGTTTATGAATAGTGTTTGTGTATGTGGCGCTCCATTGTTTAGCAGTAAGCAGCAGGGAGACTGTGTCCCAGTGGCATTATATGTGAAGGGGGAGCACATAAATAGAAACATCAGAAACAGGTGGGTCCATTGTATTACAACAAATGGGGTGTTGACACGTGGATTATGTGGTCAAAGATTTAAAAAGCCCAAATCGATGTCCAAAAAGCCCAAACTGAAAAAGCGGGATAGTTTTGGGGATCATGGCGGGCACATTAATATTCGTTTTTATTTTTTTATTCAAATTTTATCTGAAGCAAAAAATTAAAAAATATTAAATAGGTAATTACCGTTGTAAAGAAATTATTATATATAATATATTGAGAGGAAGAGGGCAAAATTAGGATGGTTCGCGGAAGCAGACACTCAACTGCGTTCTGGTCACTTTGCTTTTAATCAACTTAAATTAATAAATAGTGAAGAGATCTGTTGGATTAGCTAATTAGTAAGTAGTAAGTGTAGTGAAACATTATTAAATGTTAGAACCTGATTTTATAAACTGGCATTTGATAGGAAAAAACATTAGTAAGTATGGATATTAACTTTCTCGAATTATCTAAGTCTATTTTCTCTCATTTTGTTTATTATAAAATTATTTTCACTTTTTCGTGAATAATTTCATTCATGATTATACATATTCTTTTCAACATTCTCATTTTTGTTACTTTCATTTGCATCGTATATTGATCTGATCACAATTTTATATACTAATCCATTCCTCTCGTATAAAAGTGCACACTCTCATGTGGAGTAATTTTTATAGCTTACAGTCTACCTTTTTTGTTTTGTGCAAAAAGTTTTGAGTTTCATTTTTTACGAGAAAGTTAGTTGTTGTTATGTTAAGATATGCCTTGAAGACCTCTCCAACTTGACTGCATTATTTGGATAAATACAACACTAGCAATTCTAGGTTGCTGTTAAAAGTATACCTCGTTTACTTAAAACACATTGGATGTTTTTAGAACCTAGTTTAATAATTTAAGTGTACTGCTCTCAACTTTCTTCGTTCGTTTTTACTTGTTATACTTCAACTTATCTCACTTAAATATTAAAAATACAATTAATGATTTGAATATAAATATTTAGTATTGAGAGTAAAACATGCAAAAAAAAATATATACTATTTTTTCTTAATAAGTCAAAAGTTAACAAATAAAAATGAAAATTTATTTTAGGAAATAAGTGATAAGTAAAAGTGAACGGGATAGTATTTCTTATAAAGAGATTTGATACTTTTGAGATTTTTACGAAAATAGTTAGTAAAAATGTGATCTTATTTACACAAACAACATATATCTAGTATAATTTTATAGGTAAATTTGAATCGAAATGACGTATATAAACATAGATTTTGTTCCTAACTTATGAACGTAGAGAAATTGTTTTTGAACGAAGCCTTTTAATTTGTTTATTTGCTTTGTCAGGTGAAATACTCATCATTATACAACTTGTTCATTTGCTTTTTAGTTTGGAGATCACTATCTTTGATTACTATACTTTGTTCTTTCAAATCGATTAATTAATATAAAGTATTATTTATTGCTGCTAACTCCATGTGCCAAACTTAGAATAGAACAATTTGAAGATAGATAATCATGTTCTTGTTGTTTGATTTGTTAACAAGGAGTATCATAGTAAGCTTGTTTGCTTATGAGGAAATTTTTAAATTTTCATGTGTATTTTTGTTTTTTAGATTGGAGGGGAATGTAAGATTATTTTCCATTTATATGGTTTCACGTGAAGGCTTTTGCTTTATTTAAGTAAACTACCAAATTTTGTCTTCACTTTTATGGAATAGACATTTTTCTTTTGTCATTAAGACATAAAAATATTCTTCTTTTGAATAATTATTTTCTGGCTTCAAACTTTACAACTATATGAATAATATCACTTTTCTAGGTTCCCAGTTAATGAGAAAATGAAATGTTTGTCATGGCTAACTCCAAACCTTATTTTCAGTGTTATATTTGTTGGAAAAACTTGATTGTAAATTTATAAATAGCCATGAACACTTACCTTGGTGTTATTGAACCAATTGTCATGTTTTAGTTGCTTGGTGGACACCTATTTCTGTATGTGTGGTCAATATTGTAAGTTGAAATTAAATGGTTGCTATATAAATTACTTTATTATAGATTTTCCATGATTATTTTCGTGAATTCAATGTAGAATTATAATTTGCCTCACTTTGTTAAGCATTGGGCTAATAAAAAGGCATACATACACATTTTTCTATCTAGGTCCTAGTCTTGTTCTTTTAACATTAGAGTTGTAGAAATAATTTGTTAAGCTTAAGTCTTGGTCATTGAAATGTTACGTAGGACTTAATAATTAAATGGGTTCAATTATATTATTGTCTTCAATGTATAGTCATAATATGTATGATTTTTTTTTTTTCAAAAAAGAGTAAAGTGTTCAATTATATTATTGTCTTCAATGTATAGTCATAATATGTACGATTTTATTTTATTTTTTCAAAAAAGAGTGAAGTGTGGCTGCTGGGATTCGAGCCCAGGTCTCCACGGCCACAACGTGGAATTCTCACCACTAAACTACAGCCACTTTGTTGATTATATGTTTCAATAAACGAATTAGTATAATACTATTTATATATCTTTTTTCCCCTTCTAAGCTAACATGTCACAATTGTGCAACTTGCTAAGTTTAGAATTAGGACGTGGATCTAGTACTAGGCGGCTTGTTTGATTAATCACGAAGAATGAGTTTTGAAACTTGTAGTCAGGAATAAGTCAGATAATAGTATAGTTATCAATTAAGAAAATAATTAGTACAACGTGATAGACACATTTTCACATTTGCATATTGAATGGACTTTGAGATTCGTAAATATGGTGACTCAAATTAGGATATATCATTAACGAATTTATATGCCCCCTTTTGTTTGTTGATAGAGCATTCAGAATGTTAAGGTACTCAAGAACCTATCCTAATATTAGCCGTATTTCTTATAAGCAATTTATGTAATTTGTCTTTTAATTGTAACAAAAAAAAAAATGAAATGATAAAAGTGTGTATCATAAATAAAGGTGACACAAACGAAATTGTAAAATTACATATA